AAGGAGACCAGAGCAAGGAAGAGGCCTGAAGCAGTGCTGTGTGTGAGAGGGGAGGGATGCAGTGTGTGCTACTTGGTGATATGGTCTCACTGCCCACACCTACACAGGGAGTGGGATACAGGAGAATTATTGCCACTGTTATTCCACCCTATTCTCCCTCAACCATTATCTTTACACCCCCTACCTCCCCAACTTGTCTTCTATCATATGAACTTTGCTGCAGCCACACACAGAGCAGCCCCCAGCTGCCAACACAGCTTCCCATAGCCTGCTCCGCACGGAAAAATCACAGGCAGAGCTGTGTTTTTCAAACAGAAGCTTTAGTATGGATGAGACAGATGGTTTGGACTGCAAGCCCACTACTTCACTGCTCCTTGAAGACGAGATGTGGCCTGTGGTTTGCCACTAAACTTTCTACCAAGCTGGCCCTATCCAAATAGAATGTTTCTCCCACCGCAAACTTCCAGTGAAATTCTCTCATGGCATTTTCTAACTACCATTGCCATCTTTTGGAGTTTTCCTTTGTGTAGTAGACTCTGTAGGAAGTCAGGAAGGAGAAGGGGAGGTAAGGACACAGAGAACATGCAAAGTCTCCTCTGCCTCCCATTAAAGGCTGATTTTACAGCAGCCTGCTCTTTCTTTGCTCTGGTGTTACAAGTTTACAGTAGAGATCCTTGGTTCAGTCCAGCTGATGACTATATTGTTTATACTTAATATGGACATTGACTACATCATGATAGCTGTTTTTCATTCACATACATGCCAGGGTAGTAAAACTGATATGGAACCAACCCAGAATGATGGGGAAATTCCTACAAAAGTCAAGTTGGGTGCCAGTTACAAATGATTTCCAGAAGAGCTGGAAAGTGCAGAGTGTAAGGATAATTTTTTGTCTTTTTTGGTATTTTTTCAAGTGCAAAACATGTGGACTCTTGCCTGAATTCTTCTCCCTGTCCACATTTCAACTAACCAATTAACATTTCTCAGATAGTTCTAATAGTTGGATCTCTGCTGATTGTGGGTTTTCTGTTTTAAACAACATTCAATTTAGACTGGACTACATTTTTTTCATGTTATTGATGGCTAAAAATATTTTCCCTGTTACCCAGTAAAAAAACAGTGAAGCCTCAGTTCTAGGCTCAAAATTATATATATATATATGTACATACGTATGTATATATTGTTGGTGAAGAATGGATTTGTTGAGCAGCGAGGGTCAGGGCTACACCAATGGCTGAAATGTGTTCTTTATCAGCAGATCATTACAGTCAGTGCTGCACAGCAGGAGAACTTCCTCACGCCACTCTGCCAAAGCTCCCCACATGGCTGACCTGCCGGCTCACTTGGGCTTCAAGGAACTTCCAGTCTCCATCTGGGGATCCAATCTCACTGAGCTGCTTGTGCCTATGGGATAGCCCCACTCTTCCTCTCCCTTGGCCCCAGCACCGGAAAATAAAACCCCGAAGGCCTGATTTGGAGAAAAAGTTTTTCCACAGACAGCTCTGCTCTCTCCCACTGATTTGAGTGGGAGAAGCCCAGGGTGTGACTACCACCCCCTCCTTTTATTTTGCCAATAATATGAGTCGCTCAGCACACAACTGTACAGACCTTCTGTAAGTTGTAATACCTGTAATTTGAATAATTCATGTGTCCAGGCAGTAGCTATCATTTATAAATATTCCAATAGAGGGGATGTATAGGAAGGAAAATAAGTGAATTGATTTGAACATCTGGGGTATTTTAATACCAAGAGGTTAAAAAAATCAACCTACCTTAAAATACTGTGTGTTTTTCCATCTTGTGTCCCCCTTTTTTTTTTCCTATCCCATCTTTAAGAACTTTTCAGGCAATGAGGACATCTGAAGTTTTTAAAATCAGAGGTGTCCAAAAAATGGAAAGTCCTTGTCCATTTTCTCCTTATTAGAACAGGTTTCCTAAAATATTACCCAATGAGTATACAGAGATATTTTAAAAGGCCCTAAAACCTTATTTATACTCAGAACTTTATGTTGGAGTTTGAGCTTTCACAGGGTATTAGAGCTGTCATTTGATTAGCACTAAACGACATACCCAGGTTATATGGAAAGAGCTGTGCCTCTCCCCAGGAGATGAAGACCATCCTGGCTCTGCTACCATACCTAATTGTAGAGGGTAGAGTTCAACTGAGCAAATGGAGGTACCAGGAAACTTTAAAATTCAATACACAGACACACTGTGGTGGCTATTTATACAGTGGAGACAGCGCTCAGACTGGATTTAGCTCTGAACATTTTATGAGACAAGTACTTTCCAGTCTGAGATGGTCAGACTACTTCAAAGAGATCTGCAAAAGGCAGCTAAGGAAAATAAGCACATCAATATTTTACATCAGACTACACATGTGAAATGTGAAGTAAAAGGGTCTGCAACCTTCCCTGGAAGAATTTTAGGGACTCACAAACTGAAAATATTAAAACTACTGATTTGAGGTTATAAACAACTAAAACATTTTCTATTCTTTCGGAAAATGTAGTAATCAAGGAAAGACAAGCAGAGCTCCTCAGAGAAGCCAAAGCAAGGCAGTGTGTTTAGTTAATGTGAGGCAGATGAATAAGAGATACCGAGAAGATCAAAATGCCAGTTCTGTCAATCAGGAATTGCTCGAGACAGCCAGCGTTAAAAAGGCACAAACCACATTCTCACTGCTTCTTCCTTCACCTCAAAAGTTTCATTGATCTGCTGACTTGCCTGAACCTTACACTTAACAACCTCACTTAACACATGCAAAGAACCCAGCTCTCATAATTCTCAGACTTGTATCACACCATCCTTTTATGCCTGTTCAGGAGACAGAAAGGAAAATATACTGGAGACTTCCTTTAGCACTACGGAATGGAACTTGGTAATAAGAACATCTGAGATGCTTTCTTTATATGGCAGCCTTCCAGCTTATAAGATTGATAATAATTTGCTAAATAATAATAATTTTCTAATAACATTAGCAAATAATAATCATAAATAAAAGTGAAAATTTACGTTACTAAGCAGTAGCCACCTGAATAATGCCAAAGAAACTGAAAATCCAAACTGAAGCACTGACTGAAATACAGCCACCACTGGGAAGGACAGCAGTGAGTGATCTCCTTACAGCATGTGATACTCAAGGAAAAGGGAGAAGAAGAAATTGTAGCATTTGGAAGAAAAACTCTGCTCCTTCTTGAGTGATGCTGCTGTGACTCTTGTTTTAGAGGGACTCATCTGAATTCAAGGTTTTCCCAATAGGAGGATTGATTATACAATGATGGAATCTTTTCTGTCCTAGCATCCCCTAGAGATATCTAGAATATGCATTGAAAACCAATGTCCTGTGTCTCGCTCTGCACCACTGATGATTACATTTGTTTCAGCAATGTGCTTCTCCTTGATGTTTTAAAAATAATATTAATTTGCAGTTGATTAAAAAAAATCATCTTCAGTGAGATGCCCCTGCAGATGACGTCTGTATTTCTTCTGCTATTCCCTCCTGGGTCCGGGCAGACACGTTAGTGAAACAACTGGATCATACATTAGGGGGAGAAGATTCAGAGGCTGGTGCTTTTGATGGATACACAGACTAGATAAACATGAGTCCGAAAGCTCAGTACCTTCCACTGAGAATACCCTACTTCTGTGGCCTAGAATTTTAAATGTGCAGCAAAGACTTCTCACGAAACCACCTAACAAGATGTCAAGCACTTCTGCGTTGAGAAACTGAGATTGCCAAGACTCTAGCCCAATATGGTTTTCTAAAATAAATTCACTCCAATCAGACCTGCATATGCTTCCAGAGGCAAACAGCAGATGAATACTAGAAGTAATAAGAAGCCTGCTTTATTGTATATTACTGAAATGTGTAGGGAGTGTTGTGTATGAGATCTGGTTAGGGAGCTATGGTTGGGTTTTAGCCACTCTTTTGAACAAGCATGATAAGCTTCTATGCTTTATGTGCTGGGCATTTCTCTATCTATTACAGGTTCCTGAATTAGTGTCTTCTGAAGAGGCAGGGAATGGGGATGTAACTCCGCAGCGGTACCGCACACCTGTGGAACTACAGCTTCCTAAAGCCCTGTTACTTACCCGGGCTTCTGCTGCTCTAAATACTTTTGTGCACTGTATTTCATTTTGAGACATGCCATGTGCTTTTCAGGCTGATACGCTACATTACAGACAACTAAGACATATGAAGTTGCAATGCAATCTCTATGGAATAATTTAATGTTAAATATTTCTCAAATAAGGTCTTGGGCTGGTGAACAGGAATCTTGGCCACCGATCAGTGTCAGGCATGAATTCAAATGCCATCCTGATGTGCTTTTTAATGCAAAATAGCCACACTGAGTTTTGCATGCTACTGTCTTCTCAGAATGCTTTCTCTTGGTCTGTTTATATGTTTAACCTAAACACTGTCTCAGATCTCATGCTGTGGGAGCTAAGTGGCCATGTCCTTAGTAAAAAGCCATTGCTAAAGATTTTACCAGTTGCAAATCCGGTTCTGATTTCCCAGGAAAGGGAAACTGAAAATGTTGTTTGAGATAACAATTAGGAGGATTTAAACTACAAACTTCCCATAGACTCACAAGAAGTGCAAACAATAATCATAGCGAATCAAACCCTAAAATCATTCTTCTTTAGGTGCTGTGACATGTAGATAAATATATTCATAAGCTTAGTAAAAGGAACTTGAAAAAAAAAGCCTGATTCTTGTGCTAATGTCTACCAAATGTACCCATTGTGACACAAAAAAGCAGATTAACTTTCATCAAAACTGACACAGACAAGTTATTTTTGGAAATCATTATGCCTGCTACATCCAAGAATGAGTTCAGTGAATTTGGTTTATGAGTAACATAAAGTACATCTGTTGGCAACATGAGATTTGCACCTGTGATGATACCTCAGATTACTAATTTTAGAAAAAATGGTCACAGTGTCCTTGCAATAAAGTCTTGGTTAAAGTATGAAAGGAGCAATTTATTCCTTACCTTCTCAGCATCTTGCTCAAAAAGCCGGAGTTGAAAGCACTGGTCCAGTTTCAACTTGCGGACATGCCACATCTGATGCAAGTGTTGCCGGGTAGAGTGCAGCTTGTCTAAAAGGCTGGTGATCTTTGGCACAAGACTTTGAAAATCTGCACTTCCAGGAATGCAGTTCCTACCAGAAAAACCATCACTGCATCTTATGCATTGTAATAACCTCTGACCCTCACGATCCAGTTCTTCCACAGGAGCTTTAATCACTTTTTTCTTAAGCTGCGTGTGCTCATCAATCAGCCTTCTTGAGCCCTCAACATCAACTGGAAACTCCTTCCTAGCCAACATTTCCTGGAGATCCTCCAGCCTTGATAATAAATGGATGGCGCTGTTGAAAAACTCTTCCAGGGAGACGCGCAACTCTATCCATTCATCGTGGTTGTAATCCAAGGATCCTTCAAACTCATCCGTCAATTGAGAGGGATCTACGAGTTTTGCCAGGCCTTCAACAGATACCATACTTGTCTAAGGAAGGGAAAATGACAGCATTTGAATAAGTGACTGTCTAATCAGAGATAACAGTGCAATCCATAAATAGCATGAAGGATTTTCTTCATCAATACGTAATTGAAGGAACATTGTAAAAGACGCTGAGGATTATGTTTGATTTTGATGAATTAATTGGATTGAAAACTTTTCTATTAATGACACTGATTTCCTTATTAACTAAAAGACATGATATTTACTGGAGTAATGTCTATCTTTTGCAGCTGGCTTGACTGTCAAAAACATAACGAGAATGCTTTTGCCATAGATTACTTTAGTACAGTTGGACACTGAAGACTTCTCACTCCAGCTGATGGATATTGGGACATGATTGTCCACTAAAAAGGTATATGGTATTAAAGAGAATCTGCTACTTGTGTTACACTCAGGCTACTGGCTATACAAAGGCAAAAGTTCTAGACATATAACATGAAGCAGGTATTGTCACCTGCCAAAACACTGAATATGCTGAGTTTTTTCTTCCAGATTATTCCAGTTGGCTTTTGCCACAGGCAGATGGCTTTGATGGTGGTAATTTCTAATGTAATTAAGCCAAAATCAATGTAAAAGTGACATGTCATTGGAGTATTAACAATTAGAATTTATTGCTAATAGAAAGTACTGCTCGTGAATCATACACAATCAATGAGAGATGGTTTTAATTCATTCAGACTCAGTAATCAGTGATAAAGAAATGCACTGGGTGCCTGGAATGCAGAATAAAATTTGAGGATGCTACAACTGATGGCTGTTACCATTTATTTTAGAAAAAATATTTTTTTTTCAAACACAAGCATAGGGTTTTATAAGTTACTAGAGATTTTCAGTGCTGTCATGTTAACACCCAAGTTGGCAGCCCTTAAAGGCTTGTGATGTTCATCAGTGACTGCACATCTATTCCCTAAAGATCAGGCCTCTAAAGAATGTCAGAGTTTGTGCTCTTCAGAGGTGGAGGCACCCAATAATCACAGCAATCTTGTAAAAGTCATCTACAAAGAAACATACCTCAAGTCATGTCCATTATCCTGAATTACGTCAAAAATAACAGGCTGCCCCACTGATTTAAAGTTAATAATAGGCTCTTCTTCCAATTTGTATTTATCTAAAAAGATCAGACATTCTGTAGTGTACTAAAATTGGTATTGTATTGAACTTATGCTCAGCAGAAAGATTATTTTAAAACTTTCTTGCAATGCTCCTTGCTTTATAAAAGGGGGAGGACAGACAGAAAAGCCAACGAGCAATGCAAAGGTAAGTATGTAGCTTCAGAGGGATTTCGAATTTCTAAATCTCTTGACCTGGACACTGACCCCTTGAAGATAACTGAATTTAGAGTTTAACTGCCTGTCAAGAAAAGATTTCTCTTCATGGCTAATACCTGGGCATTTCCCCTGCAGTGTGTCAAGCTAATGCAACCACTGCTCTTATCATGAACTGACTTTGACATGATGATATAGAAGAAAGGTTTTGCATTTCACGAATCCTGCAGCAAATTCCTTTATTCAGATTTGTTCCTTTAAGAAGTTCTTGAAACTTGCATGAAAACAACCTTAGTTATGCAGGTAGGTATTAGATAAAATAACTGTCTCTCAGGCATCTCCTGTCTTTCTTTTAGAAATCTCTTTAAAAAGTGCTGCCCATTATTTAAACCCTTTTGGCAGGAGAAAGAAAATAATCTTGAAGGCACCTCTGAATTAATGCTAACTAAGCTGCCTGGTCCATTCTTCAAAGTGACAGGAAGCTTTGGAGTCCACATACGTCAACCAAACCCTTTTTTTTTTCTCTTTTCTTTGTGTTATCATCTGTGGGCATGTTTCACTCTCTGGACTGTGACACAGAATCATTCTGCCAGAGTCTCACAACACAAAATCCGGATCGTTAAGTCTCCACTAAGGGTCATGCACTGCCCTGGCACATGCATAATGCTTCCATTAAGCTCAAAAGCAGAACCTGGCCTTCAGACTGAAACTGGTTACTGCTGAGTTTGTAGATGGGGTAATTCAACAGAGACTTCCATTGCCTTTCACTGCAGTCTGTTCCTGCCAAGGACCTCGTGTTTGATTACAGCTGTGGGAAATCATCATGATGGTTCAGTGCAGAGAGGGTACCTGTGTGCTGCCCCACAAAAATCAAAAAAACGTGACCTGCGATGTTTATTTGATATTCACAATTCTTATGAGAGAGCATGAGTTACCCCAGGGCCTGAGCCTACCAATTAGCAACAGCATCCACAAGTATCCTTAAAAACAGAAGTTCCTGGATCATGGTGTGTATGTTGCAGGAGGTCTGTTGTACAGCGGACCACAGCTTAAGAAATCTTTTAAAAATCATAGAATTGAAGGACTCATCATTTCTGAGTGTCTGTAGGTGGTCCAATAGACCACAAAAGGACTGACTCTCCTCCTCCGGTCCAAAAATTTCTGAACCATCACAGACACCCATGTGAAGAGCCCAGCAGACAGACCAAGGCTCAAAGGCATGCACACAAAATGAAAACACCCCTAATACGTGCCAGCATGTACAGCAAATGAGTCCAGAGCTTTTAACACAATACAGACCCAGAGCTGTAACAATGAAGAATAGCTTGACCACAGTTTACTCTTCACTATCATCACACCAATAAAAAAAACTAAGTCAAGACTCCAGAAAGTAGTAACTCATTTTGGAAACAGATAAAAGGTCTAAAAATATATATTTGAACTCTGTTACTTTACTTCTTGGTTTGAAGCTTTAGGAAAACATTGCTTTTGTTTACTAAAACACTGGAGGATTGAAATTCAGTGTCGGATACACATGCATAAGCTGTCTTTTCTTGGGCTACTATGGGACTGCACTTAGTAACCATATATATTTTAAACAGAAGCTCCCCATTCTCAAAAGCTATTCTTTGACTGGTCTCTGCATAGGCTGCCTCCTGCTCCATGTTCTTCTGGGCCCGTACATCTCCTTTCTCCTTCCCACTGCCCCGATCCCTGTCATTCCAATCTCATTGCACTGCAATGGCAGCCGCTTCTGCCAGGAGCGATGATTTCACTAAGTGAAATCTGTGGAGGTGACACAAACCTATAGTGAAGGCAGTCTTGCTTTCAAAGGTGCATAGGGGTTAGCAAGTAGAAGTTATTCTCATATCTGAGTCCCTACAGGCAGCCAAGGAAGGTAAAGATCCATTTAAAAAAGCAAAATTTGTGAGTTGAATGTTTTTTTGTGAGACAAGGACAAAAAATGTACAAATACTTAAACTGTGATAATAACATTAAAGCTTGTTAATGCTCAAGACCAATCTATTTGCCCATTGCAATTCAATAGTTCTTTTAAGAAGAGGCTGAAAATAAGGACATATTTATATCCCACTGACTCCAACAGATCTTAAATATATATTTAAATATAACCTTTTGTTGCAGTCAAAATTAGAGAACTATAGCCAAATTATCTTCTGAGTTTCAGAGATGCAAAATCTGAGTGTCTCTCTAAAATTAAAGGATTGATAAGTAAGACAGCCAATGACAGAATTGTTTCTCAAGAAATTAAAAAAAACAACATAACTAGCTCATGGCTGGGCATGATTGATGTATGAGCGTTTCACGAAGCTGAGCTTTGCTTCTCTTTGGGTAAGAAGCTGAAAATCACAGAAAACTAAAGCTCACAAAGAGAGCACAGCTGTTAGTAAAATTCCTTGTAATTATGCAGTTGTTGCATATTGGTTACTTTTCAAAGAACCTGTCTGAGGCACCTTGCCATTAACACGAGCTGTTGAAGTTACCCTTGAACTGTAAATCTCAACTAAATTACAGCGGGGACAATATATAGATAAATTTCGTATAAATGTCTTTTATAAAAAAAAGCAACTACCTGAAGTTAGTTAGAGATCAACTAGCAAACCCACACATTAGCACATAGAGAACTTTGCCTTTAGTATATTGACTGATTTTGTGGGGTTTTTTTCTAAGAGAAACAAAGGGAAGACTGAATGCAACACCACCAAAAATAAATACCACAAAAAAACCCTCACCAAAGTGAACTAAGTACGTGAATCTATGGAGACAAAACGTTCATCCCGTCCCACCTCTGTGCTCAGAAGGCAACTTGGTGCCAGAGCATCAGCCCACTCCTGCAAGCAGACCTCAGATGTCTTTTTATCTTTTTTTATCTCAAGCAAAGGGTTTGGGAATTTCTTTTCCATCTAAAGAAAACTTCTTATCAGAGGTAATGCTTTACCATACATCCCTCACTTGGTTCTTACCTCAAAGATGAACTTGGAACTGCCGAAGTTTGTTTTCTGCTTCTGCCAGAAATTATCAGGTTTTATAATCAGGGCGACATGAATTTCGGCAGGAAAGGCTTCTTGAAGGGTCTTCAGGAGAGGCTTGATCAAATCCCACTTGGATCCCCGCATATCGATAATAACAGTGAATCCTCGTTTACAAACATCTTCACTGTAGGAATAAAAGTATATCAAGATAATTTATATTGTGGACAGTCACACTGAGACTTCAATTTGTTGCTAGAAATCAGCACTTCAGAGCAAACCAAGGAATGATATACTTCAAAATAAAAGGCAAAAGATACTGTAACATAAAGGCTATATGAAAGGCTAGATGAGCTATACCATAGTCTAATTTATGCGTACTCAAGTGTATACATTACAGTTTAATCTCTAATTTCCCAAATACATGTAATTGAAGTCTTCACTGAAAATACACATCTTTTCACACAACTTAGAATAAAATCTATCTGCATAGACTTTATATATCTGTACATACAACAGATTCTGCTTTCAACGTACTGAATTCAATCCAGAACCAAAGCCAACAAGCAGGGTTCTGTGCCTTAACATTGCTGGCCACTCATAAATTTGGGTGCCTTCAATTTTAAAGGCTCCTTTAAGGGCTTTTAAAAAAGTGTCATTTCCAGAAAAGTGCCTGACGATCATTCCCTGACAGGAAGTTCCTGGTGACCCACAAGGTGCACTATTCACAGTTGGGCCCTTTTCCCTCCCAACTGATCTTCAAAATGTTGCAGGATCTTTTTAAATCTGTAGTCATGCTTTTCTGCAGCCTGTGCTCCTCCCTTCTCAAAAGTTCAAGACGGTTGTGGCAATGCATGAGGAACAAGAGCACCACAGCATTAGCTTGCAAACACGCCTTCCCTTTTTTATCAGAAGTGAAAAGAAAGAATAAAAGGACATGTTGATTCAAGTCAACTCCAGGCAGCTTTTGGCATAGCTTTTCCAGGGATGTCATACTGCTCCTCAGAAAAAGATGTATGACTCAAAAGTGTCATCCTCCACCTGCAGTGTCCAAGCATTTGATGTCATCTGGGAAGTGTCTACTCTTCTGATTGGCGGGCTAAAGTATCTGCCATGCGTGGCACTGAACTCTGAGGGCTATGGTGTCTGCTGTCTCAAGCACTTGCATAAAATGTGAAATTCCCCATCCCCAGTAATATTATGAGTAAAATTCATTGGTGATGCACTAAAAATGACAGAATGGCCTACCTGCTAATCTAATATATATATATGTATTTAAGGTGGACTGGAGGTCACATCCTTCACAGAAGGAGAAAGTGTTGGAAGAAAGAAAATATAGAAAGAAGAAAGGAAGATGAAAATGGGAAGAACAGTTGAGAAACAAGAGAAACATGGCAGAGCATGAACATATTTTGTATAATGAATGCAACAGTGAGGTACAGAACAAGAAATCCTCTTTAATACACGAATATAGCCCCTTGGCCTTTCTGCAAACTGGCTGTCAACATAAACAGGATTAATATTGTAGACATAAAGGCATATGCAAGATAATTTAAAATGGCAAGTTTTGGTATCACTGGAATGAATCTGAAATATGCTGATGACAGATTTTATTAAGTATGGTAAAGTTAATTTTAAGACTCTGTTAGGCCTCCACACAAATACTGTCAGTGCACAAACACGCGGGATGATTTTCACTACACCACTCTAAATCCTTAAAGCTCTCTTTCTGCTAATGAGATCCACATCCTACATATCTCACTGAAAACAACTCTTTAAAGCTTACAACTAGGTTTCTGGGCTGGAACAAAGACAGGGGTATCCTTCATAGGAGGTACAGTGGAGAAACACACGTAACTTAAAAATAAAAGCCTTTGGTGACCTTAGCAGTACAGGAAGATTTGTGCACAGATGGACCACCCAATGGCAAAGGGAATTTTGCCATGTTAAAGAGTTCACTGACTTGAACTGTCTCAATGTAGTGCCAGGAAGGAGCAGTCAAAGCCAACAAGCTTGGTCCTCCGCATTAACATCATTGGCACACCCAGAGCACACAGCATACAACAGCCAGTGCAAAGCAAAACTAAGGAGACCAGGCACTTCCAAACTGTGTCATGAATGTAGATCTTTTTATTCTCCTGTTACCTACTGCTGAAAGGTCAGACATCTGATCCTTCCATAACTAATGCCAAAAAAGGCTGTAAAAGAAGCTTTGTTGGTGGTGCTACTGCCTCTTGCCCTTTGGAATGAGAGCTGAGACAAAGAACCAAATCAGAAAGGGATTAATAGAAGGGGGTTTGTGTTTTGTTTTTTTTCTTATTGCAAAGCTTTATGGAGTCCTCAGTAACTTCTGCCAAGTCACTGATCCCTGTTACACTGAACTGACTTTTCCAAGGATTGATTTTTCTTCAAACACTTGACAGAGACCCAGGAGCTATACGGGCACACGGAGAGCCCTAACAGCAGACATAGTAACAAGTAAGTACAAGTTTGTATCTAAGTACAATCTGTCTTTTCTTGTATAAATAAATAATTAACACCATACACACACATACACACACGCACTGCAACCACAGCAAGGCGTAACCAATATTAACTTCATTCAAGCTCCCCATGGCTGCTGCCAACCCAAAAAATTACCAAATCTGATCTAAAACAGTAACTTAATTTAACACTTAGTGATGAACAACAGAAAAACCTGTTTCAGTAAGCATAACAGGAATGTCTTGAGGGACTGAAGTCTTCTGTTTATGAACCTCAGCTAAAGTCTTAGACCCAAAAAACCCCAAAATTTAACCCAATGCCCAAATTACAGCATAGGCAATGTGATATCATGCTGACACCCACGATTACATACCACCATGATTGGAAGTTCAGCCTGTAGTAAGATAGATATTCCAGATGGAGAACCAAAAGGTGTAACTCTGGGCTGGGCCTTGTGTTTACTGAAGGTTTATAGCCTCCCCAGACCTTGGAGGTGCAGAGAAGCAGTGGAAGGAGCAGATGGTACTGCCACCCATTCCCACGAGCACACCATGCCTAAGCATGCATGTGTGAAAAATGCTCCACAACACACTAAATCCCTACCTTCAGTGGTTTTGAAAAGTTCACAGTATGTTTTCAGGGGAAGAAGAAAGGGTAACGATCCCCCAGCTTTTTCTGGTGGACACAGAACAGTCACAGAACCCGTGGGCCAGGCTGGGACTTCAGCCCATGAGTAGGGGATCAGGACGCTTCCTGATTCTTATCCTGCGAGGGGCAATAGGCAGTCATTCCCTACCAGCACTATCCCCACCCCTTCTAACTAGATCAAATTTTCAACAAGCTTATTATATTTTCAAGTATGAAACAGGGGAGGAGAAGGGGAAAAGAAGAATATTCATAGATTTCATAGGTTCAAAACATCAACAAGTAACAACTATTTCACTAACAATACAAAACTCAATACAATGCTCTTAATTACGAAGAGGATTTTTCTACTTGAATCACAGAATCATAGAATAGTTTGGGTTGGAAGGGACCCTTAAAGGGGAACCAGTCCAACCGCCCTGCAACAAGCAAGGACATCTCCAACTAGATGAGAACCCAGCCAACCTGACCTTGAATGTTACTAGGGATGGGCAACCTGTTCCAGTGTTTCATTGTAAAAAATTTCCTACTTATATCCAGTCTAAATCTTCCCTCTTTTAGTTTAAAGCCATTACCCCTCCTCCTCTCACAACAGGACCTGCTAAAACATTTGTCCCCGTCTTTCCTGTAGGCCCCATTTAAGTACTGAAAGGCCACTACAAGGTTTCCCCTTAAATGGTCATATAGACATGGAAATTCTTATATGAAATAAAATAAATGAAAAGATGGGTATCCCTTTTCAAATGTGGTGCAGATAATGTACATATAGATGTTACTTCTCATTTGGATCAATCCTAACTCTGTTTCAAGAACTTTGCTCACAGTCTTGCAGAAGTGGCTCTGCTTGCAATTTTTTCTTTAGTGAGAACTAACCTGTAACAAGACCTGTGGGTCTGTAGTCTCACCTACAGAATTTTATCTCCTTGGCACAGTGGTAATTCCACAGGCCCTCCTCTGACTCTTTGTACAAAATTAGCACCTGATTTCTAAACCTGCTTGTCAAAAACTATTCTTTAACAGTGTTTAAAATGTTGCAAGCCAGAAAAGCTGTCTGCTCATTATTTTTCCTTTCAGTTGCAGAGCTTGCTGTGGAGAGGCGTGCCTTTGAGAGCACTTATACTATACAAGCAGGCAGCTGGATACTAATCATACTAACATCGCAGAGAAAGAAGAGGGAGATAAGAAAATTATTTAGATTGTAAGCTCTTCAGGGCGGGGACCATCTGCCATGCTGTGCTCCTGTAAGAAGTCTGCCTTGGTGGAGCTCTCCAGGCACCTATACTCATACTACAGTCTTCAGCTCTCCAGAATGACTTCCCAAAAATTACTCTTCAGGAAACTATAGATGCAAATCCAAAGAATTAAAAATAATGAGTAGTAACGGTCAGCAGAAACACAGCTGAACACGTATGTGAAAGTACAAAAGGTTTACCTAAATGTGGGGACACCTCATAGGCAATTTAGTTAAAAAAAATAACTAAAAAGAGCCAAAATTTAAGTTGCAATCTCCAAATACAGCGATTGACAGGGTCCTAAAAAAGTTGGCCTTGTGTAGACATAATGAAGCACCCGTAAACTCTGGTGAGTCAGAGCAATTTGTGAACATTTGTCATCTTTGACAGCCAGTCATTTTTCTTCAGTTACCTCAATGTGTACGGAGGAAATGACCCTAGGTTCCTTTTGAATAGTCTAGCCATGCTTATTAAATTTACTGTTTAAAAGCAACAGATCAAACCCATCCCAGTTTAGCAATTGACTGGGAAAAGCATCAGTAGCAATCAAGCTTCCTCCACAATGTCTGAGCAAGACATGCCTTACCCCAGACTCCCAAGACACTCTATCAATCCACATATCTATTATGCACAAGTAATCATTTTAGGATGGCAATTAATGTTGATTGTGGTGCTTATGTTTTTCCGGTATTGATATTTGACCAGAAACTGGAGAAAACACTCAGATCAAGGTATTTGGACAATTCATCAGCCTTTTGGCTGTGCTCATCTGGACTAGATTTGCAACGGTGAGCACAAAATATTTGATAGTTGATATGTCATTTCA